TTTTTTTTTTTTTGTACTGTCAAGTCAGAGCTGACTTACAGCAACCCTAACTTGGCTTTCAAGGGAAGTGAGATATTTAAGAAGTGGTTTTACCAGTTTCATACACACACCTCCGATGAGTTTCCACAGCCAAGTGGGGATTCAAACCCAGGCCTCCTGAGTCTTAGTCTGTCACTCTATCCACTATACCACCCTAGGTTTCCCAGCTATCCCTGGAATTTGGCAATATTGAATATGGCAGTGATCATCACATTCTCCTTCTCGTTACATTTCTGATTTGTACTTTACCTGGGTCTTCATAGTTCTTTCATAAGCCAGTTGTTTCTCATACTGAGTCTTAAGCTTTTCTGTATCATTTTCTTCCTCGTTAATACGGGCGATTCCTGAAAAACAAACAAACAGAATATTAATAAAATGAACATTCAATAAATCACTGATCGAATAGAAGTCACTTTAACATAACAAAAATACTCACTTTCTTGGAGTTCTTTCAGTTTGTTATTTATCTCTTCTTTTTCATTCGCCAGGTTTGCCACATCACTGGTTAGTGTCCTATTTGCTTCTTCCAACTAAAACACAGAAATTAAAAGAGGACTGTGTTAGTCATGGGCTTAAAAACTGTCAAGACAAACACCTGCTCCCATTACAGTGAAATGTGAAGAGGCTGGAACAGAGGAAGGGGGTGTCCCTTAAAGAGGGACAAAGAGGTTACATGGGAAGTAGGCTGAAGCACCAAGTTTATGAACACAAGCGTAAGGGAAATGTGACAGCTTATAACATTACTAGGTAAAAGACTTCAGATCGTCTCAAAGACAGTTAAGTAGGTTTTAAGAGCTAGACTAAGTGACAAGACAGAAGAACCACAGGTTGGATCCAGACTCCTCTTTTCTCTGCAGCAGATACTAAACAACAGTCTGCTTATATCAGAGAGAAGAGGACGAGGCATGAAACTGGAATCTTCAAAAATTCAGTTAAAAAGAGCTAACTGACAAAACTTTGGTTTATTTTTATTTTACCTATAATGCTTGTACAAACCAACACAGCTACCTCCTGTACAACTACAGCTCTGTTGTTGTTGTGTGCCAACAAGTTGTCTCCGACTTATGGCATCCCTATGAATGAGTGATCTTCAACATGCCCTGTCCTCAACCACCTTGCTCAGCTCTTGAAAACTCAACCCTGTGTTACCAGCTTACAAGTAATACGTACTGCAATTGGAAGGAATCATACTTGTGCAGTGAGGTGCAGGACTGCGAACTGTGATGTATTTTATAGCAGCAACAAAACATTTCGCCCATGAAGAATCTAAGACCCTGGTATATAATCTTTTTTACTACTTTGCCTTTGCAGCCAAATTATATGCTTCTAAAAATCCAGTACTCAATCTGTGTTTGTACCACAGTAAGGATTATACTCAGCACTTTCAGCTGGTACTTGACTGAGTCCATCGATTTCTGGGTAGACTCAGTAATGGCATTTTACCAGTCAGATGTGGAAAATATTTTAACCCCCCATTTTGGGAAACCTTTTCTCTGAGCATTTAATGCCAACTCCCCCATTTCAGAACACACTGTTCTACTCAACAACATACCACAGCATCAGTCTGTTGGGAATAAATTATAACTCTGAAGGGGTCCATGTAGTTGGAGGGATTCTACAGACACAACAACTAACAATACAAGTTTGTTGTGACTTACTCACCGATCCTATAGTAGCATCCTTTTCAGAAAGTTCTTGCTTGTGCCTAGCCATCATTTCCTTAATTTCTAATTCTTTCATGATCTTTTCTTTTTCCAAATCTGAGTACTGCTCCTCAGCGATAGAACGAGCCAACTGTTCAGAATCGGCTTTGGTTAACGTAATTTCAAGTTGGGCTGCCAGAGAATCCCTGCCAGGCAAAAGCAATCGAGTGTCATTAATAAATGATGGACCAGGATGGCTTCTGAACTTCCTATATCAAACTGCCATGTTCTCACCTTTCATCTTGCAACTCTTGTATCTTTTGTTGCATTTCTTTACAAAGTTTGGTCTTTTCTTCACACTCCTCTTTAAGTTCCCGAACTTGTGTTTTATACAGTGTCTGCAGTTTTTTACAAAGGAATATTCAGGCATTTATTGCAACAGCGATGCAGAAAACAGAAAATGAAGAAACAGAACAGAAAACGAACAGAAAAGAAGTCCCATTTGAAAGACTCATCTGCCCTAATTCTGGTTCAAGATGGGGAACATTCACAGCTTGTTTTCAGCACTTGATGTGACAATCAGAAACTAACACTCGCACTGAATGCACAATGATCACTTGCTAGCATTATCAAGAGTGAGGAATTCGAGATACCCTTTCCAATTAGAGGTCACAGTTTAGTCAGCATAAAGGCTATTATATCTCTCACATAAAAGCTACATGATCCCTAGGACACAGTGTTATCTCTGCTGTCCTTAATCTTTTAGGGTTCAGGCAATTCACAGTAACTCTGGTTATTGTTATGTCCTAAGGACAACAGCCCTGATTTAGACAGTTTTAACCCCAGAAACACCTAAAGTTAGTGCCCCTGATATGAAGCATATTTTGGAACTACAGAAAGTGACAGAACCATATTATCTTAATGAAAATTACATTTATCTATGAATCTCTCTGGGAAGTCTACCACTTTTTTCCCATTGGGGGAAAGTGGCATTTGCATCAGAGCAGAACGGGCACGGCAGCCATGGGACCTAATACCTAAGAAGTGGGAATAATGAAGAACAATACAGATGCCAAAGCATTACATACTGAAAAATACTGCTCTGCTTCAAGTTGGTCTTGAAGTTCTTTCATTTGTCCATCAGCCTCCTGACGTTCCCTATTAGAAAACATATATGCATTATTAAAATATCCCTGACAAACACTAATGAATCAGATTCTAACAGACCATTTATAAATCAGATTGTCTTCTAATTAATTAGAATATGATCTAATACATTACATTCTCTTTCCCTTCCCAATCATTTACTGACTCTTGCATTCTACAATGTCATCTAAGGTCCTTGCTACATAAAAAGGCAAACAAGGACATGGCTCCCCATCCTAACAATTCAGTAGAGGGGGAAAATGATGCTTAATTCATATGCACTCACAGTAATAGGGCAGTTTTAAAACTGCTTTCATATAGTGAAGACACTACAATGAAGTGTGTCATTCAGAAACTAATCTAAAAGTGTACCTCGGTTTACGAATGCCTCAGTTAATGTAATTTTCGGTTTACAAAAGAAAATCCACTGAAAATAATGCCTCGGTTTATGCATTTTTTCAGTTTACAAAAGAAAGTTTCCCCAGGATGCATTGCGCCTGGGAGGTTTATAGTGCCACCCCCGTGCATGCGTTCCTACGGGAAACTGAGTTTTCGGTTTACATATTTTTCACATTATGAAACATCCTGGAGAACGTATTAAATTCGTAAACTGTGATACGCCTGTACTTGCAGGTAGAGATGCATTTGACTGGAGATGAAATTAAATAGTGAAGATCTGAATGTGAAAATATTTTCTAATGTTTCTCAGATCTGGAGGAGGACCTTCACTAGCACAAAATTCATCACACTATGCCTCCAATCCTTTTCCAGTCCTTTGCTTAGAAGAGCAGTCCAATCAACGGGGGGGGGGGGACCAACTGCTTCCCATACAGCAGCACACTATCTTATCCAGCACTCCACATGTATTAGCAGCTGTCATGGAATATTAAAAGGATCAACTCCCTTCTTGATGAACTGACTTACTTGCGGAGTTCATTATTTTGCTTTTCCAAATTTAACTTGATCTCAATAAGATGGTTATTCTCCTGTTTTAGTTGCTTTTCTGTCATTTTCAATGCATTGACATGCTGCGTTTGCATCTTGAGGTCATTCTGTGTGAGGCAGCGCTTCTGTGTTTCCTGTTCTATTTTCAATGTCAAGTTTTCAACCTAGAAAACAAAGTGTTTCCTTTTATACATATACTGCACATGGTAAGAACAAGGAAAATGCAACACTTACTCTGCTTTACATGGTTTTTACCAAGAATGATTCTAAGCTTGTTTGTGATAATGGGGAAATGGGCAGAAGTTTTTACTAAAGCTCCATTTAAGGAGAAACTGCCAACCCGCCACAGGCAAAAACAATGCAAGGTCAATTAGACACAACACTATCAACTCCCAGTTTTATGCCTCAGACATTATTGGATCTGTTTAGCCTGACAGCGCGCGTAAGGCATATGCACAGCTGTAAGGTCCTTATCTTGTGCACCTTTTGTTCACTGAACAACATTTTATTTGATCAGCATAAATACGGACTAAAATAGTAGGATGCAGAATAAGGCTTGATCATAAACAGTGGAATCAAAACCACCCCCTCCTGTTTCTGCTGATGGAGCAACTTCTGGGACAGGTGGCCCAACAGCTCGTCTTTAACTGTCTATTGAAAACAAAGTTCCATTGAATTATAAAATTTATTGTCATGAAGTGTGCTTAGAATTATAGTCTTTCTAGGCCAAGCCTCAAAAGCCACTCTATTCAAAGGGGCTTATACCAAGAAATACACATTATGCTGAAATCCTATTGCTCAGTTATGCAAACAGGGTAACTTTCAGGTAAGAACTGCCACAAGTTAAGAAATCTCTGTAAACATGATCTGCTGCACACCGAGTCCTGTGGCTCAGTGCGAAATCAACAGGATTATAGCCACAGTATTGCAGCCTTAGATCAACATGTATTAGCCACTGTGATAAAGCTAAGAGCCAGACATGATCTTGGAAGCATTGGAAACACTAGTGGGAAAGTAATGTTACTTGGGAATGCTGGCAGTTTCCAATAAAAATGGAAAAATAACTAAAAATAGAATGTCTTGTCTTCTGGAATATTCATGGAAGGATCCCAAAGGATTCCCCCCACACTTGTGCAATTTGGCTTTTCTTATTCTTAAGTTTAAGGGAAAAGCATCTCTCTGTCATTTACTATTTAGTGTGTGACTGGGAACAGCCTGTTCCTAAATTCAGCTCTTGGCTACTTGTATCGACAATCATAAACCTTCCCAGGAGTGGCACCTTGGACTATTACACTGTGGTCTTCCTTGCAGGGCTCATATTTGCTCTGGAAGGACAGGAGTAACCAGGGTTGCTGATTCCAAGAGACAGACAGAAACTGCTAGGTTGACTTAAGCTGCCAAGACTCAGCTGGGACTGGCTGGTGTCTGCAAGTCTTGGAAGAAACCTGTGCACATGTGCAAGCCAATGCACAGAGAAACCTCCTGGTGGCAGCTTCATTTGTCAAGCTATAACCATCAGAACCAACTCAGAAGAGACCCACAACAATAGGACTTGTTCATCGCTAGTAATGCACCAATGGACTAAACAGGATATTGATACTTGATCTATCCCTTAGTACAGCTATAACGAAGGGCACCTAGGGTGGTATAGTCGATAGTTACAGACTGGGACTCAGGAGGCCTGGGTCTGAATCCTCGCTCAGCCATAGAAGCTTACTGGGGGTAAAGCTTACTGGGTCTGGAGCTGGCAAAATCTCTCACTTATCTTGAAAGGCTATGAGGGCCACTATAAGCCATTCCAACTTAGCATGTAACGACAAGAACTGCTGTAACAGCGTAAGGCTAATTTATATTATAAACATTGGCATTATGCACTGTCAGAAGAGGCTCTTCTTGAAGTACTGTGGGTGCATTCCAGACCAGCAAGAGAGCCTTCGTTAGTGGCCACTAAACAACTACACAATGAACTCCACATGGGAATCATGACTGAAGCCAGTGTTGCATTTTTTAATAAAGATTGGTTTTGTCTATTGTCATATATTTACTGTTTTGTCTGTTCTTATAACAATGTGGTTTTTGTGTTTTATCACATAAGTTTTGCCATGTAATCATATTTGTACACTGCCCTGGAATTCATAAGGTTAAAGGTTTTATCCTTTAATACAGTGGTTCCCATCCATGGGTAACCCAGGTGGTCTTGGACTGCAATCCCCAGAAGCTTTCACCACCAACTGTGCTGGCCAGGGTTTCTGGGAGTTGCAGTCCAAGAACACCCGAGTTATCCAAGGTTGGGAACCACCACTTTAGTATATCAAAATAAACAGAATGTTCTAATAAATAACTTGTTTTAATCAAGAAATACAACAGCCAGAATCTTGTTGCCCTACATTGCTCACACAATGGTCCACTGTGGAAGGCGTTCCACTTTTATAGAACTTGCAAGAAAAGGCATCGAGCACCTACTTGTGCAATCAGAAACGCCGGTCATTTCACCAGGGTGACTTCCCAGCTTGTGCAACAGCAAGCTAGAGCCTGCAAGGCATTCTTAAATTTAAGGAAAAAGTATCTCTGTCATTTACTTTTTAGTGTGTGGCTGTAACCATGCTCTTGGCTACTTGTTTTGGCTATCACAAACATGTCCAGAAGTGGTACCCTGGACAATTACATTGGAGTATTACGATCTGTCCACATTGCAACAGAATTCTGGCCAATGTTTTAATAAATAAATACTTTAAGAGAATGAAATGGTAATAAATAAATGAGTAAATAAATGAATATGTGAAGGGTAAACATCTGAACTTTTATGTATGGGTCATTTGTTTAAAGCTATTTCCCTTCCCTTTTAACTGCTGGGAGAATATTAGAGTTGATAATTTCTTTCTGCAGGCATTAGTATTCTGTAGTTTTTGAGCAGTAGGCACTCTGTTTTCCGTTATCTTTCATTGCATAATCAGGCTTAGAACTAATTACCATTATAGATATGGGGTCATTAATTAGTAATACACAGATAATATTTGCTTTGTCTTCCAATTAGTAGTTCAACATTCAATGACGTAAGAGTACAGAGCCAGAAATATGAGTGGGGATCCACAATGCATGCAAAGAATAGTGCACATGATTTTTGAATCCAAGTCATCTATTTGACTTGCTGGCTTTATTTCACCTTAGTTCTTGGTAAAGAAAAGAAAAGCCAAAAGCTTAGGTATGTCTGGAAATGAATTATTTTATCACAAATGTTAACAAAAAGTGTGGGAGGGGGATGCTAAGCAGACATAACCACGAGTAAGCTTCAAAAGTATTGCAATCTTCCTAGTCATACTTACATCCTCATTTAGTTTATCTTTCTGCTTAAGCAGTTCATTTATTTTCTGCTGTGATTGTTTCAGATCACAGTCCAACATAGAACACCGCTTCTCCACTTCCAACAAACAGTTTTCTACTTTTTGTTTGGAAGCTCTCTCCTCTGAAAGCTTCTTCTCCATTTCTGGGGAAAGTGTTGGGGAAGAGAACTTAGTCATTTAATATATATGCAAAATCAGCACTCATCATAAAAAACAAAAAACAAATCTTGGCACTGACGTGATTGCAATCAGGCCCACAGCTAAAAATGAAGAACCAGTAGGGGGGAAGGCAGTATATTTTATGGGTTAAATTGAACATGCAGCTATCACTAAAGAACCTGCATAACTAGAATCCTCTTAATTCAGAGAGAAAGGTATTTGAAATGCCTTTAGATTTTGCCTAGTCAGCTTGAAGCAAATAATTATTTAAGACACATTATATAATCCAGCCTCCACAGCTTCATATCCACTGTCAGCTTTCCACTTTTCTACTCCCGAGACAGGTTTCATTAACTGCCTACATAGATTCTTAACACTTTGTGAAGGCGGGGTTGACCTTTTGATGCATGGGGGCCCCTAAGTTTTATGCATCTATCATCACTGACTGTGAAGTTCTGGAAACTATTTTAAGTGCAAGGTCAAATTGATGCATCAGTACTGCTAATAATCTATGAAGGACAGCAAGTCAAAAAAGCAACAACAAAAACCTTTTCAAGTGATTTCACCCACAATACATCATTCTGTTTCTCTTAAAAATGTATTTGTTCTTGTGGTGGAGGAAAAATATAAGATGTAGAAAGAATTCATTAAAAGCATTACACAGTTTTTGAGAGCAAAGGTGGGCAATGTCTTTATCAGGCCACCAAAACCCCACAAAGAGAAAACAGCTTTCCAGTCCTCCAGGACTCTTCATCAGGTTGGGCATTAGAGACCGGGGGCAGATACAGAAGAAAAATCCCCCAAATCTTGGATGGATCTAGTAGATTCTGTTCCAAAACAGAGACTGCAGCACAGTGCAGGTAGTTTAGGGTGGCAGGATTCACTCCAGGCCACGTACCTTTCAGTATTCTTCTCAATCGTGGCAGACAAAGGGCTGCCTGTCATGTGAGGAAGCCCTGATTAATCCCCCCCCACCGGCTGCCTCTCCAACAAAAAGGGCCAAACTAAAATTATTCCTGTGACTTTCAGGGCTGGATTCAAACAGAACACATAACTGAAGTCATAATGCCCACCTTTCATGGCTTCAGACTTGGCTTCTTCAATCGATTTATATATTTTGTTTTTGTCTGCTAGTCTGGCTTTTGTCGCTTTATGTTCAGTTTCTTCTTGCTCCAAGTTCTGCTGCATGACTTTAAGTTTGTAAGTCATATCTATTTCCATGTTGCTCTTTTCCTGTTAAAAATTTGAAGGAGGAAAAAAAAAGGTAATTGTTGATCACAGTCTCATCAAATGTCATAAACTAGAAGTATGTAGTTTAATTAGAATGCTTGATAAGTATCTGGGGGTGGGGGAGAAACAAAACCATGGGCTCTGGCTCAAGATTTTGGTCTGGTCCTTAACATTAGAACATACTAATACGATGTGACTATGACATAATTTGGAAACAGGCCGTACATTTCCTTCCTATTACCAACTTGAACTGAAACTTGTGCTACAACATAAATAAAACCATGCCGAGAAGAAAAACATCAAATTCTCCATGACATTTAGCTGGATACCAAGAAAGGCCAAGTACCCTGAAAACCCAACCACAATTATGAAGCTCTTTGCTCATGTCACTCCATGTCTCCATGCCTTCCCAGTTTCTCAGGTTCCATTTAATTCAAAGGGAGGGTCAGACAGAGCTTCCACCTATTTTTCACCATAGGCACACATCCCACCAAAAAATGAAAGATGGGAAATCATGCTCTTTGTTCACTCCAGGAGAGGTGGTCCTTCTTTAAAGAAACCCACAGGGCTTCTTTTTTCTGTGTTACCTTTTAAATTCAGAAGCAAATTTCTGGCTACTTCCAGTTTTGGGAAAAGACAAGCAAACCTCATTTTCACTGGAAGTGCAGCTGGTCCTAGAGAGACAGGATGCTCCTCCCTGGAAATGCTCAAATTTCTACCTCATTCTAATTTACAATGGCTGGCCTAGCCAATATCTGACCTTGGACATAAGTCTAGAAAATCTTACTAGGCCAGTAGTTACAGTGGGAGAAGTTAAAAGACTCCTACCCATTTTTTTAAAAATTAAGATCCTGGGGTAGATCCACAATTCTACTAGAGCTGATTAAAAAATAATGTTGCTTGCTGGGAGCACTTTTTACCTGGATTGCCCAGGCAGCCCAAATCCCTCCTGATTAGGGCATGTCTACCATTACACCAATACAGTACAGTATATGAAAAAGAAGCTATGTCTGACCCCCTCAAATTATTGACCCATCAGCTTGCTTAGAGTTTGTTGTAAGCAAGCTCTTTCCGAGGCATCTCTGCTGAACGTTCTGAGATTGGCTGGAACAGGAAAATACCTTCATGGGTAAACAAGGCCGGTCATTTGACTCTTAATCAGTGCCTGATATTACTGCGCTTGGTAGAGAGGTATGGCATCAGGCCTTGTGGGGCACGTTATGCTGCTTCTGCCGACTCCAAGTCAGTATTTGACAGTATCCCCCCCAGGATATGCTATAGGCCAAACTGAAAGCTTCCTCTATAGACTGGGGACTACTTGCACACATCCATACATTACCCAAAAGCAATCATCTCAAACTCAGGTGCAACCCACAGGTCTACTTATCTCATAGGGTAACAGGGATGTATTCTAGTCCCCCCCCCATAATTCATTTTTTAATACTAATTCTATGGCTCAAACCTTAATAAACCGATTTTCACCCACCCAAACCTGTGAAGAACCCTGCTCTATAGTATGCAGATGATACAGTAATGTTATCCCACAGTAAAGTGGGGCTTAAGTAATAAACTACCAAAGTTCAATATTCTGGTTTTCACCAAAGAGTCTGTCTGTCAAGAACAACTGGCAGATATGTGGGGATGATGTTGAACAGGTCAAGACCTATAAATATTTACAGTATGTGTAGTTTTCAGACTACACATGGGGAGCCCATATCGCCAATGGCTCCGAGAGTACTTAAAGAACTGTTACTGCCATCTTGATTTTCTTCCTCTCAAAAAGGGGCTCCAATATTTAAAAAAAACTTTTGGAGGCAAGATACAGGCCTAACCTCTGTACGGTCCAGACCTATGTTTGCATAAGGACTTCTACCTCCTCGAGGTGATACAGTTAAAATTCTTAAGAACTCTTTTTGGTGTACCACACTGTATCCTTAATGCCCAACTCAGAATAAAAGCTGCAATGGTCTTCCTTGAAGCAAGTGATTGGCTTCAAATAATCAATCTCTGGTTCAAGTTAAAATGTAATCCTATCAGTTCAGCACCTTGGGCTGAACAACTGCTGTGGACAAAAAAATTGGGTGTCCTATGGGTTATCCCCTCCAGCACGATTACATTTGGGATTTATGAAAGCTAAAGGTACTACAGTATTAGGAAGAGCATCTAGGATACAGCCCTCCAACTTGACAAAGCATTGAGTCCTATATTAGTCAGTGGCTAGGAATCATACCAAGATCTTTACCCCAGTAGATTATCTGTATAATTTAGAATTTGCGAGACACTGGAGAGCTTTTACCCTGGCCTGTTTCAATGCTCTGCCTTCAGCCATTTTAGAGGGAAGATACTTATTTATCACTTATGACCAACATTTTTGCCCCTGCCAATCTGGCAAGGTAGAAATTGTGGAACATATCCTGTTATGCTCCATATTTTATAAAGATTCACACAATCTACTTATCTCTCCAATTTTAAAACATTATCCAGGTAGATAAATTTTACATCTCCTTTCTCCTCTCTGATTCCTCAAGTGAAACCACCGCCAAGGTTGCAAAATTCTATGCAAATTCTTTACAGCTCAAAAACAGATGACTAAATCACTGTAGTAACTAGATTAGAAACTCACACTTAATTGTAATCTGAATTGCAGTACACGTACTTTTGATTGTAAGTATTATTTATATGCTTTGTTAACTGTATTGCAGTCTTGCATATCTAAAATGGCTAATCTATGGTCAAAATAATAAACTTGAAAACATACCAGTTCATCAGTTCTCCTCTTTTACACCCACTAGATTTCTTTATCTATGTACTTTCTATCGTTCACCTACTGTCTGAATAACAAAGCTGCTTAGGAAGGAAAAGACAAAAACTGCAAGAGATGACCTTGCAAGGCTGCAGAAAACAAAAGATATGGAGATAACATTAACTAGAAATCCCACTCATCACTGAAGCATGCAGAAGAGAGCACAGGCGAGAAGACAGCTCTGGAGAACATTCTGAGTTAGTCACGAGCAAAGGAGGACACTGTGTCTCCAAGGTGGCTCACGACTGTTCCACAAATATCCTAATCACTCATTTACAGAAAAGTATATTCCCTGTTTCTTAAGACTTCAAGCTAGCACAGATACAGGATAGAGCCCCGCTGCCTGAAAAAGGACACTATGAAGAGAAGGAGGTATATATGAATGGGAAATGATGATGATGATGATGAGGTGCTGTTAAGTCAATGCCAGTCTATTGCAATGTTTTCCAAGGCTTTCTAGGTACAGAATATTCAGAAATAGTTTCATGTTCTTATCTTCTGGGGTGCCCTGGGACTGCACAGCTTGCACAAGACTACATAGGTTGACACTTCTCCCAAAGTCTGGTTCTGCAGTCAAGATACCCAACTCATGGAGTTATTCAGCCAAATGCTATTTAATTCACTGCTATATTTATTTTGCTAAATCAATAATGAAATGCTACTTTGACCTTACCTTTTCCAGATCTGTTAACTTATCCTGCAATTGTCTTTTTTCCGTCTCCATTTTGATTAATGCACTCTTCCCATGTTTCACTTCTTCTTCCAAGCTTGATATTCGTCCTAAGAAAATGTTGAAAGAGATCAACAAGGAAAACACATCTGTTAGCAACATATGGTGTGAAAAGGGCAACACTGTATGAACTACTTTAGAAAAAGTCACTGAGTTGATCTGTGCAAGCATTATCAGACAAAGAACAAAATGAAAAAGCTGGCACAATGTTTTTCTCCTTTGTTTTTTGTCTGATACACTGTATGAGCAATGATTTTTAACAAAGAAATCTTCCATACATTTTGAAACAATAAGAATAACCAGCAGAAACATCAGCTATTACTTCTTGACTGATTAAATGAAAATATATTAATAAATTTATACTAGATACTCTACTGAAATACCAATTCAAATAAGAAAGCCATGTAACATGGCCTATTTCTAATGTCTGAATTTCGAGTACAATGGTTTTCATACCTTGTAGATCACTGATTATCTCTGAACCATGAGTCCGATCTCTTCTTTCAGATTCTAGAACTGACTGCAGATTGAGGAAGTCCTTCTCAAGTTTGAGCTTAATATTTTCCAGTGCACAATTTTTATCTTGCAGCTCTCTGTTATTTGCTTCCAGCTGCTGAATCTGCTTTGTACTTTCTGTTTGGTTCTTTCTCAACCTGGCTGCTGTATCGGACTCTGTGCGCAGCAAAGCATTGGCTTCATCCAGCTATGAAATCATGAAAAAAAAGTAGGCAGTTTATACACCAACTAAAAAAGATAGCTTCTAAAATGGACCCTCACTCAGACTTTAATTTATCCCACAGACCATGAATTTAACTTTCAACTTGAAATAAAGCTTGCCTGTCTTTGTAGCTGCACAATTTTTTCATTTGATATTTGAGAATTGTGATTCCTTTTTTTCAAATCTTCAAGTTGGTCCTTCAAACTGTTAACTGAAATAAGAACATCATATTAATAAATTAATAATTCCATTATGTGTATAGTCTTAGTAACCTTTTTACAAATGCTAGGCAGCAAGGAAATAATTTTGCCCACATACCATCATTTTCCAGATTACGTTTTTTATCTGCCTCATGTTCTGCTTTCCGCTGGTATTCTGCATTCTTATGCTGAAGCAGAGCTTTCTCCCTTTCCAGCTGTCTTAAGGCAGATTCTAGATTTTTTCTTGAAGTTACCTAGAAATATGTGTAAGAGAACAGAAGGCGTATTTCGTTTTTAAGGAAAATGGCTGAAGTCTGAGGATATTTTTCTGAAGTTGTAACAAGGAGCTCATCAAATCTAATTAATGCAGCAAGTTAACTAAAAATGTTTCTCATTTGGTTAGAGTAAATATACTATATAATGTTCAGCAGATGTGTTCCTTAAAAATCGCAGACAACCACAAAATTTCCAAACAGGAAAGCAGTCACACAATTCTGTTTATTAGAAATCTAAAGTATGGATCCAAAAGGTGCCTTGGGCAAGCTGAAAAGAATTTCCACACTGACAAAAAAAAAGAGCCTCTGAACCATGACCTATGCCACTGCAACGCCACATGTCCATGCCATTCCAAAGGGTCCTCTGATTCTCTGGATCCAACTCCATGGAACGGTCTAAAAGTCTAGACTAGTATTGTCCAAAATGAACTATATTATTTCACCCTGAAGTGTCCCAAGTTTAAAATGTGATTTGTATTATACTAAAATTAGCAGCAAACCTTATTGTCACCTACATCCATGAAAGGGCCTTCACAAAATCATCTGGAGATGGATCATGATGCTAGACCCACACCTCAGGGAACATGTGTAAAGTGATGGATGTTTATACTCTCAACCATAGGCAATGTAATATAGGCAGTGTAAACGTTCCTACAACACAGGCAAGGCAACCAAACTGAAGTTACAGAGGTGGCGGGAGCAGCATGACATCATTCCAGGGAACAGCATGAAAACAGCCATGTGTAGCTTCTGGTACAGAAGAACACATCCCATAGTCAAATGCCACCACAAAAAAATGTTACATTTCTAAAGCCTAAAGAACATGCTACACTTACACCTCACATTTCTTTATATCCACTTCTGTTCCACATCAGGACTGCAGAATTAATAGTAAATGTGAGCTCAGAGGCCCTTATAATGAAATCAATCTAAGGCCTCAAGCAAAGCACACTCTTTCAGCCAGAGGCTCCCAGCCTTGAGTATCTAGGTGTTCTTTGACTACAACTGCCAGAAATCTTGGCTAGCACCAGTAGGGGTGAAGGCTTCTGTGAGTTTTCATCCAAAAACATTTAAGGACCCAAGGCTGGGAACCACTGGCCTAAGTCATCTCAGAACAATGCTATGAGAATGAAAGGCCTGGTTTCTTAGTTCTACCAAATTCCTTGGAGGAAGAGTAGAAGGTAAACAGCAATATGTATACTCTCTATTTCTGTTAGCTTTATTTATTAGTTTCAGTAATATTACAAGCGGAAAGGATGTTGGAATTGTTGCAGATCACAAGCTGAATATGAGCCAACAGTACAATGTAGATGCAAAAAAGGCAAATGCTATTTTAGGTTGCATTAACTGAAGTATAATTTCCAAATCCCATGAGGTACTAGTCCCTCAATAAAATATCATCCATCTGCTCTTATGTCAAGGAGAAGCCAATTAAAATATCTGTGACTTGGCTGCTCTCAACCAAGCAGAAAATGGTTTTTCATTCTGCATAAATCAATAATCTCTGTATTTGTAGTTTTGAAATTTTTCAGGTTTCTTACTTAGAAGTACTTTTGTAATGTGTATGTAATTTATGGACCATTTGGCTCCATAAATCCCAGGAGAGAATGGAACCCATTTGAAAACCTCCAAACTGGGGGGTGGGTTAGGGTTTCCTTGTCTATATGAAATTAGCCAGGCTTCATCTCCTTCATCTCTTCAGACAGTGCAACTACACTTGCAAATTCCACCTAATTCTCTCAAGAGATTATTGGTAGTTTAAAAAAAATTGGGGGGGGGAGACAGGAAACTAAAATTAATGATGGCTCAAAAAAAATACTTTGCACCAATTTGTTTAAGGTTTTCCAGGATTTATCCATTCAGATTGAACCACTATGCTGTGCAAATGTAACCCATTTCTGTCATTCAGGAACAAAGCTACAGATATTAATTGATTTTAGATTACATTCTACAAGAAATCAGAAAACCTCTGATTTTCAAGGCAAGACTCTCATCCATGCTTAGTTGAATTTGACCTTATTTCTGAATTGGAGTCACAACTGAATCACTGCACACCTCCCCAAAAATTTACTTGTTAAGACAGTTCAAAAATTGGCTACACATAAAACTTTTAAATTTCTCTCACTAGTAATAATTAAAAATCACACTTTACCTCCTCATCCAATTCCTTCATTATTTTCTCTAGGCGATTATTAATTGTTCTGGATAAGGATTAAAAACAGTGTTGTAAGAAAAAAGAGACATGTGCAAAAAGCAAATAAATGATTTCTGTACTGTTAAAATATTTCATATAGAAAAAGTGAACCACTTATAAATTTATTAGTAGCTGCCAATTTACATAAATCATGGACAGAACAAAACATTTCCCAAATCTCCTCCCTTCTGCCATTACACACTGGATCTGTACATTATGGGGCATAGCAACTGCACAATAATAATGTAACTTAAAAATAATACCAGGATGACTCTCTAATATACTCTCATCCAGTCATTAGCCTATAAGAGTAGAAATAAGCTGTGAAGCAAAAGAAATAAAATGAACCAAAGAGAGGGGAAATGGGCTTACAGCATAATTAATTGGAAATTAGTGCTTGCTGTTAAATCTAAAATATAGAAATGGCTGGTAAGGTCAACAGGTAGGGGGATGAATCTTGACAGGCAAGGCAAGCAAGAGCCTTCCCTCCCTGTCAAAGATCAGTTGCATTACACCTGAGCAGGTGAGGGAGAAATAGGCAAACACAAGAGTAAACTGAATCCTCCACACTGCATGTTAATTGAGCCCAAGAAATACTAGTCATCGGGATGTATTAATGTGAAACGATCCTGTTGCTGGGACCAACAGCAGTGATTTTTTAACACTAAAGGCCTCCCAGGCCCTATCCTGAGGCACCCCAAAGCTTGCCCAGGTTGAAAGGGATCCCTAGAGAACCTCACAACTTGAAAGATGCAGATCAGGACAGTTTAAATTAAAGTTCACAGCTGATGACATCATCAGCTTTCAATAATAATCCTGTGTTGTCGAGTCAAATCCGACTTATGGCAACCCTTTCCAGGGTTTCGTAGGTAGAGAAGACTCAGAAGTCTTCTGAGGATGCTCTGGAACCATGCAGTTTGCCCAAGGCGGCACAGGCTGGCTGTAATCCCAGGAGGCCCAGTGGGGAATCAAACGCCCAACCTCTGGCTCTACAGCCAGATCCAGCCAGCTCTCAGCTTTTATATGGACAGAATTGCACAACAGGTTTCTAGCATTTTCCTAAAAGAGTTTTCACCACACACAGAGGAAATGATACCTTACCTCCACTTTTGTTCAATTTCATCTTTGGTTTGTATTTCATTACGAAGCTGATCTTCTAACTTGTTTATTTTTTCCCGAAATTGTGTAAACTAAAAGAAAAAAAAACAATTTAAATGCTTATAAAAATCAGCACATCTTGGAATGTTATTTCACACAAAGTAACTGTCATCAACCATTTAACTCAAATAAAAAATGACTCCTTTCTTAACTTTAACCATCTCCACAGTTAAAAGTAATACAAATCTAGATATAAAAACACGCATGCATTTTTACAGAACCTGGTTGTTCATACAATATTACAAACAATATAATACAATGCATACAAAAATGGTAAGAGCAAATTTAATTCTCTGTGACTGCACAGAACAAACTAAACAGAAACATAATAATCACTCATGTTTTTAACCTTCCCAGATACCTTGCTTTGCACATTTCTAAATGATACGTCTGAAAAACTGTAAATTTAAATATATTGTAAGTTGCAACAACAATTTTACATACGGAAGTTACAGCCTTCAGATGTAAAACTACCTTAGCAACTTATGAGAACTGTACTGGGCACAACATGAACCTTCATTAAATGCCAAAAATCCCAACGCTATCAATGTATTTCATAGATTATTCTCTGTAAATCAAGTTCTAATCTGTGCATAATGGGTTCTTTTAAAATGCAACTCAAAGTCTGTTAAATATTGTATAAATCTCTTTTAACTTCTTAAGTCAACAAACAAGCAATACAATAAGCAATTCTGGATACCCAAAACAGGGAACACAACCAGCTGTCACAAAATCGTATACTTCCTAACAACTTCAACTGTCAATGCATGCAAAAGGCAACTCACAGAAGTTAAACAAACATTTCCTATCAAATAGCAGTTCTCATTTACTTATTTTCCTCTTTAACCAATTACTGGATATGGTCAGCTTAAATTGTTCATGAAGTAACTGGTACTATCATTCACACTACTGAAACATATGTTTGAAATCTCACTCCGTGATGACAAGGGGAAAATAATGTCATTCACTGTTTAAAATAATCTGCTTACCTCTTCATTGTCCTGTGAAAACAAACCAAAAAAATCAGATCAATGTTTTTTCCTTAACAAGTCTCCCCAACCTTATTTCCTAACAAACCAAAGCACTTCATTATCTTAGTATTCCAGATTTAACACATCACTTCAGATTCTTCAAAAACTAAAAAAATATGCATTATAATGGCCAACAGTTCCTTCCAATATAGTGGAACTTCTCAGAAGTAGTTCCACATTTATGCAATTAACGCAAACTACTGAAAAACTAGCACTTATGCCTCAGTGCAAGTATTTCTCATGCATAACAATGTCTTGCATGTGTTTAGCACTTATTAAAGCGAGAGTACTTGCCTCATTTTTCCTTGGTTCATTTTTCCTTTCTCCATTGTTCTTGCAGGGTTCAACTTCCCTAGAGCACTCAGAAAAGTCACTTAGCAACCTGTTGAAAACAACTCAGGTTTTCAAAAACGCCAACAACTATGCCAATCAACTCATTTTAATCAATTCTCTCAAGACTTAATCCCCACTAGGCTGCTTCTGGAACAAAAGCATTTTATTCAGTACTAGCTCTCTTCCTGTTCTGTTTAAATGACCCAATGGCCTTTTGGTTATAAAGGGGGGGGGGAGACTGAGCATGTTTCCCAAAGGAACACCAAGTTTAGAGTTTTAAAAATTCCTGTGCATGTACTGTAATCTATTAACCAAAATATTCCATATAAGCATAATTTGCAATCAAATAAACACCCTGAACATTCTTCGCACTCTTTCTCTCCCCTCCCCATCAAAAGGGCCTGTATTATACACTGTTGGTGGAAATTACAAAATACACTCTACAATGAAAACTAATTAAACACATATATTTTGATACAATCTGGACTGTACAAGGAAAAATTACTGTCATAGATACGTTCACAAGTTCACATACAAGTTTTCTCTAAAGTAGGTAAATCCTATGAAAGGCAACTGGTTTCCAACAAAGGCTTTCGGGACTGGAAAGGTTTCAACATCTCCTTTATCATCTTCAATGTCATCAAAATTACTGCTATCTATATCACTACTCAGCTCAGGTACGACAGGTGCAGCCGCTGAAAAAGAGGACATTGAATTACATTAGGATAACATCCCCACAAACCTCAGAAAACACTTCCCCCCTTTTTTTTTTGCACAGAAAGATATTCATCCCACTTAATATGCCTGCTGTGTTCTGCATCACACTGGTGTTGAGATTCCTGATTTAGATGTCTTGGAAAATGGCAGTTTATATTCTGAGAACTACATGTGTAGACCTGCTCTGTCTCTCACTCCAGAAATCCTCTCCAGAGAGCTAGAGGATGCTTATAAAGAGGACAGAGCTTTTGGAAAGAGGGAACCGTCCTCAATGAGTGGAGAATACTTGCAAAAGCCGAGCTAAGAAGAGGATTTTCAAGAAGAGTTAAGGGGCTATGGTGAAGGGAGCTCCGTCCTGTAGGCTTCCTTCTTTAAGGGTTTGAAGAATCCAAGGTAGGGATTTTAATGCAAATAAGTAAACAGTGGGCCACAGTATATGACTCCTGTACTCCACAATGGGCAAGACCAAAACATCCCTGAAATAAGGATATTAGAATAAAACCTTCCTCTCCAAACAGAAGACTGGTAACTTGAATCTTCTGTGCTTCAGAACAATCAGGGTAACTATGTTTCCTTGGCAGAATCTGAAGCGTTGTTTGAAAAGCTCCAGTGAACCAATAAAGAATTGGGGTTTCATAATAAGAACAAATGTTTGACTAAACAATTC